CCCCTGCTTGTGTTCCCTCTCTCGCTGTGTCTCTCTCTGTCAAATAAATAAAGTCTTAAAAAAAAAAAAAAAAAAACAGTGTCAGCAAACTCATGACTGCTGAAACTAAGCAACAGGTCTTTGTATAACCTTTCTAGGTTTGTGTATGTTTTTAAATCCCATAATTAAGTTTAAAAAAAAAGGCCACAGTGAGCATTAAGGAAGCCTCAAGAGACTGACAGGGACTGAAGTCAGATTACATGTCAGTGTGATTTCCTTCAGAGCATTTAGCACTCCCTGAAATCCTGTGTGCTGTCACATGCTATCGTTTATATCCCCCTGAGTAAGCTCTATGTAAAAGGCAAGGCCTCGATCTTGTACCCCACTACATCACATCCCCAGGACAGCGCTCGAGCCCTGGCCGACCACGTGGTGCAGGCCTGGACTGACAGATGCCCATGAAGGGAAGCAGTGTCGAAGCACTGAACACGTGCTTAGGAGCGCACTTGTGATGAGCACCTGAAGTGTTGAATCAGTATATTGTACACCTGAAATATAACACTGGATGCTAACTATACTGGAATTAAAATTTAAAACTTTATTAAAAAAACATTAAATCCCATCCAATTATAAAGATGGTCAGTGTCACACCTCTGCAAAGAAGGGAAGAGAGGGCAGGTCTGTTTATGTAAAAGAGAAAAGAATGGGAAGGGGCAGAAGGCTTTTTTTCCCCTGCACAGGAAAATTTTTATTTATTTATTTATTTTTGCCCCACTCCACTCCCCTCCAGCAATCCTGTTTGTTTCCCATGATTAAGTCTCTTATAGTTTGTCTCCCTCCCTGATTTCATTTTATTTTTCCCTCCCTTCCCCTATGATCCTGTTTTGTTTCTTAAATTCCACATACAAGTGAGATCACATGACAATTGTCTTTCTCTGATTGATTTACTTCACTCAGCATAATACCCGCTAGTTCCATCCACATCGTTGCATACACACACACACACATCTTTATCCATTCATTCATGGACATCTGGGCTCTTTCCATAGTTTGGCTATTGTGGACATTGTTATGAACATTGGGGTGCAGGTGACCCTTTGGATCACTATGTGTGTATCTTTGGGGTAAATACCAAGTAGTACAATTGCTGGGTTGTAGGGTAGCTCTATTTTCAACTTTTTGAGGAACCTCCATACTGTTTTCCAGAGTGGCTGCACCAGCTGGGGCAGAGGGTTTAAACAGGAGTAGCAAGGGGTGCCTGGGTGGCACAGTCAGTTAAGCACTGACTCTTGGTTTTGGCTTGGGTTGTGATCTCAGGGTCATGAGATCGAGCCCCGCATCGGGCTCCGCACTTGGTGCTGAGTCTGCTTCAGACTCTCTCTCTCTCCTTCCCCCCTCTCTCTGCTCACACACATACAATCTATAAAAATAAATAAGTAAAATCTTTTTTTTTTTTTTTTAAGGATTTTTTTTTATTTATTCATTTGACAGAGAGATAGCGAGAGCAGGAACACAAGCAGGGGGAGTGGGAGAGCGAGAAGCAGGCTTCCCGCCGAGCAGGGAGCCCGATGTGGGACTCGATCCCAGGACCCTGGGATCATGACCTGAGCCGAAGGCAGACGCTTAACGACTGAGCCACCCAGGCGCCCAAATAAGTAAAATCTTAAAAAAAAAAAAAGGAGTAGCAAAATCTAACAGGTAGGATTTACACATAGGAAAAAAATCAAAACACAATGGGAAAGACTTAATCACTTGAATGCAGGGGATGCCTCAGTTAAGTAAACACATTTAAAGAAATCCAAATTTGGGGCACCTAGCTGACTCAGTTGGTGGAGCACGTGACTCTTGATCTCAGGGTCCACTGGGTATAGAGATTACTAAAAATAAACAAACTTAAAAAAAAAAAAAGAGGGGCGCCTGGGTGGCTCAGTCGTTAAGCGTCTGCCTTCGGCTCAGGTCGTGATCCCAGGGTCCTGGGATCGAGCCCCACATTCGGGCTCCCTGCTCCGTGGGAAGCCTGCTTCTCCCTCTCCCACTCCACCTGCTTGTGTTCCCTCTCTTGCTGTCTATCGAATAAATAAAATCTTTAAAAAAAAAATCCAAATTTAATCCCTCAAGGAATATAGAATGAAAATGTTAACAAGTAGTACACTGCATGCTCACATACTCTTGTAGAGGCTTTAACCATGGACAAGAGTAACAAATGCAAATGTTATCTGGGCGTGCACAAAAAAAAAGGGGGGGAAAGGAGCCATTAAGGCAGATTTTTTTTTTTTTAACTTACTCTTAACAGAAAATGAGTAAGAATCCAAATGGTCTTGGGAGGCACTCAGCTCTCTGAAGACCTGAGAGGGCAGGTGGTATGGAAAGCATGAGAATCCAGAGCAAGCAAGGGCAGAGCCTGGCTCCCTCACCACAGCACAGGCTGCATCCCCAAACCTCCCTGGGCCTCAGTGGTTAGCAGGCCTCCCCCTCCAGGTGGTTACAAGCACAGGAGGGAGAATGCAAGTGAGTCACTGAGCTCCTAGGTGGACAGACACGAGAGCCACTCAGCAGTCAGCGCCGTCTCCCACCTGGGAGCAGGGCAATCAGGAACACCCCTGAGAAGTGGCTGCTCAACACTTGCAGACATGCCTCCTCTACCACAGGCCTCACTACTTTGCAAGACACTCGATTCCTTATTAGACTGCTCTGATACTTAGAAAGTTATTCCTTTTGCTGAGCTGACTCTCCCTCCTTAAACTTCTACCCACTGAGCCAACTTCTTCCCTCTAAAATAAACACAAAATATATTTGCTATGTCATCCACAAGGTAACACTTCAAATATTGTATTATAGACAGAGGGCTCTCCAAATCTTCCATTTCCCAAGCTTATACCTCATGCCACCCCCAGGGACTCTTCAATCATAGCAGTTTCCATGCCTCCCCCCGCCCCCAAGTCACCATCAGATAAATATACGGACACATGCCACTTCTTCAGGGGGAAACCCACAGCAGCATACATACATGTTTACATTGCTCCATATCTCTCTCATTTCTAGGCTAAGCCGTTATAACCAAAGGTAGGTTATATAAAAAATAGCGCTAAGTCGGGACGCCTGGGTGGCTCAGTCGGTTAAGCATCTGCCTTTGGCTCAGGTTATGGTCCCGGGGTCCTGGGATCGAGCCCCACATTGGGTTCCCTGCTCTGCGGGAAGCCTGCTTCTCCCTCTGTCTGACGCTCCCCCTGCTTGTGCGCACGCTCTGACAAATAAATAAAAATCTTAAAAAACATATAGTGTTAAGGCAACAATCTATTTAGAAAAAAAAATCGTGTTGGGCGCCTGGGTGGCTCAGTTGGTTAAGCGACTGCCTTCGGCTCAGGTCATGATCCTGGAGTCCCGGGATCGAGTCCCGC